TAATTTTGAAAGCATACTCTTTGTCATACTACTACGATGTGATCGAAACCAAAAACCGGATTGTGAAAAAACACGCTCCACAGGAGCTGATGTAGTCGGAGTTGGAAAAAGTTTGAACCGGAGTTTCGGAGTTGAATGAACAAAATCTGTCATCAACTCAACTCGGGTCGTTTAAAAAGTAAACTCCAACTCAACTCCAACTCCGCAAAAGAAGAGCCCAACTCCGGAGTTGAGTTGTCCAGCGCTGTCATAGTTATCTCTTGTCGATGAAAAGGTATAATGTTCTCTTATGAGATCTAACAGGAGTAAAACGTTGATTCCAGCGCCACTAATTCTCTGCGTTATCTATCTTTTCATTTTTTTCCACTTGCCACTTTTCGCACATCATCACTACCCATACATTGTATTTAATTGATAGTTGTTAGGAATCATTTCCATATCATATTCCACAACTCAAATTCTGTTCTACACTATTCACTTCCTCCTTATCCATAAACGTATTCTCAGATCTCTCAGAGTTTGAACTGAATATTTCGTTTTCGTTTTTGTCTTATTCAGTATTTTCAGATCAGACTATTTAGTGTATCTAGGATATAGAATAATAACTTCAGATGGTTTTGTTACACGAAATTATTTTCAACAAACAACGACACTACCATTCGAAACAGAAACATTTATCGAAACTATTTATTGAATCAAAATGAGAATCATAATAGTACTAAAAGCATAATCGATTTATGTATGTACTGTTGGTAATAAGCACGTTTATTCTATTGATAAATATTGAAAACAACTTTTTTGAACTGAAATAGGAGGTGATTCGAATTCAGTATCATGACAGAAGATCAATGTAGCCATCTCTGAGACGACGTTTTAAAATATCCATATTGGACGTCAAACAACGATAAAATTGATACTAGCTTCTAGGGAATACTGTTGAATTATTCCAACAATCGGAATAACATTGTGACCCAGACTTTTCAATCATATTAAACGACTTAACCGTTAAATGGAATATGAATGATATAGAGTGTATATTAAAAATTGAAAATGTGACATAAACTGTATCATTTGTCATGTCCAAATAGCTGTAAACCTGATGCTATGTGAAAGATCGAAATTAAAAAGCTGTTACCGATTCTAATACAGAAAAAGAAGTATCCAGTCATAGGGTGATTGCCATCTCAACAGATATTTTTGAACTAAGTTCATACCATTATCAATGTACATTTCACTAAACACGGGACTTTCAAATAACTTGAACACGGTAAATTTCAAATAATGTGGCTTTTTACCCCAAAGTACTCTATTGGTAATTAAAAACGAGTGTGGTTGACGAAATGAGTGCGTTTTCTCTGAAAAAAGTTTTTTTAAAACACAGCAGTCCTTTTCACAAAAATAGAATTCAGTTATCAAGAAATCTCTATTTACCTCCAGACACTGTTGATGGTTGTTCATCATCATCTTTGCCGTAATCTTACGTCATTTACTGGTATTGTCCAGTTTTGCTGGTTGTTTCATCGGGTCTAAACATCAAATGCAATCATCAATACATGACAATATTTCTTTCAAGTATGTAAAATTTACCAGTAGAGATTATTTTTCCTTTTTTGTAGAGAAACGAAAATAATAATAATCTAAAAAAAACGAGAGGATACTATTAGTATAGAAAACAAACATTCTGAGATGTCGATAAAGGTTCAATTGTTCAAAATTCTAAGCTCATCAATTCAAGTATATACTTACGCTATCACCCGTCTTACAATAGAAAAACAATCGAGTGAGATGACCATTGCGCTCAATATAGTCCATTTATTAATGAATCGTTAAAACAAGAAAAGTTTCTTCGGACACATCAAATTTTTAAATTCAGAAACTGCTATTAGGTCATTTTGCAATGGTTTTCTATATTCTTCTAGCCCGCAAACTACTAATGCTTATAATCAACGCCTCTCTACACAGAAGATCAGTGCTTATACTTAATTCATGGTTAGAATATAACCAACATGTTTTTTAAAAGGTTTCAGAGTTTCGCCATTGAAATTGTACAGAAACTGTTAAATAGAAAATAGCAAAGATATACTTTCAGAATTATTACTATAATTTTCACAACTGAAATTGTTTTTTATATTAGAAATGACGTAACAAAAATCTTTGGTATCTTCACAAGGTTTGTCCATGCTCTGTTGTTCTCTTCTGTTTTAAAATCAACACGTGTGCTTTGTTATGAATTGCTGAAGCAAGATGTGGTGCATGTTACTAAAACCTGCATCATACAAGCTGACTGACAAAAGCAAGGATATAAAAAGTAGGTAGGAGTAACCCCATTTTTTAAGATTTGTTTTTCTTCTATATTAATTAGTAACTTCCTTGAGGATGAAGGTATATATTAATAATTATGAAAATTTATCCTCATCTAAATCTTAGGATAGAGTTGCAACCTTTAATATAAGTAAAAGCGATACGATGGGTAGCATATACATTACCATTCATAACACCCCGCTTCAGATCGATGCAGTATGCTTGCATTTATATAATCATTAAAATTTGGTTTCTTCCAATATACGCACGCACCTGTACAAATCATCCACTTTCGTAAGTATACAAAAATATTTTTTTTAAGATTATTCTGAGCAGACATCGAAGGATAATCGAGAAAGAATAAGAGTATGAGTGGCGAAGAATTAGAGATTTTCTCTAACTGTGTTGTACATCGAATGAGGTTTATACCATGTTACAGGTTTCAGTATTGACATTACTACATCAACATTGGCTCTGACGCCTTATTATAAAAGATGTTGCAAAAGTTTAACTATTATCTGTGATCTATATGTATCAAACGTACACTCTAAAAAATAATGTGCCTTATAGTAAGGCACGTAAGTCGGATCTGAAAGAGCTGCGTTAAATCGTCTTACTGGAAGACACTAGATGTGCCTTATGAAACAGGCACTTAAAAGTGTCTTACTTGTAAGACGCGTTAAAGTGTATTCTAAACAGGGTACAAAATAAAAAGGAAATACCGGTCAAAGAGAAGTTCGAACTCACTATGTGACGTTTGAAAGACGTATGCATTAAATCATTGCACCACTGGGCCTACATAAGACAGTCGTTCCGGTTTTATTTCAGGTTTGAGAACTTACGAAGAAAGGCTCCCCAACTGTCGGATCGATTTTGACCCCATCTTTTGGCCACATGAAGATCTTGATGAGACTAGAAAAAGCTAAAACTATTTCGTACCCACCGTTCTTCCTTGTCGAGATATCGAATTTTTAGTCTTTCCACAACAAAAACTAATCTTTTACTGATTTTTTTCTTTTTCATCCTCTGTCAGCCGTTGAGCAACCAAAACGTTTTCACAAATAGACATGAGTATTGATTAGCTGTGCCAAAAGTTTCAGCCCACTCGATTCTGAAGATCTTGAGCTATCGAATTTTTCGTTCGTATGGGTAATGAAAAGGATTTTCACATACACTTGGCTGCACATACAACACAGATGTTCGTGCGTTGTGAAGGATAAAAGATGTGGTCAGATATGCCTTCTCACGGTCTCTCCCTCCGGTAGACATATACTTTGAAGAATCTTTTAGATAACTTCAAATATGTATCTCAAGAACAAGTTATAACATATACTGTACGAGTAGCTAAGATTGTGAACACTATTTGAAAGTTCGTCAGACAGTCTTTCTTAATATTCTCTACTCTATGTATATGTAAAAACTTAGTTACATCACTGTACTTCCTAGCAGACTACTCTCTTTCTCATCTTCTCAAACTTTATTAGCAATAATTGGATGTACATCACACTTATTCCTTTTTGCATATAATTCAATTTTTATTAAGTATCCAAATATTCTCTCAAGGCCGCCTCTACGAGTGAACGTATGGAGACATTTAGTCTTGATGTTTACTGGTGTGTCGAACAAACTTCGATTCTATGAAGACATAATAATATAAAAAGTGTTAATCAGTTTTATTCTCACACTAGCGTATGTATCGGACCGTCTTAGCAATCATTAATGTTTTATTAATGAATCACGAACTTATAGTGGGCTTAATACAGCTAGATGTGTACATATTAATCACAATGTGACAACTATAGAAACATGCAACACTGAACGCAATCGAAATATTCTTCGATGAAACTATGGCATAATATTTTTATCATTATTTGATTTGTTTTTTTTATCATGGATTTTGTCTTATTGACGAAGTAAAATGTTATATGCTGGACAATCAATGTCTATATATTATACTTATACAAGATAAAAGTGTTAACGTTTTCACAAACATAATCGCATCTTAACCCATGAAAAAGCAGCGTATTTCATTGCAAGTTTTTATCAAAATCGAGTAAGAAAAATCATCAAAAACGGTATATACAAAAACCATAATAAGCATTCTATTTGATCACAGATGAGTTGAAAAGAAAAAATGATTCCACTGTCACCTAAAAAACCAACTCGATTCTGACTGATCGTCATCAGCCTTCCTTACCATAAACTCCTACAACATATATCTAGAAGTAGAAAATAAAAATAAAAATACCAATACAATTGAATTCTCCAGTAAAGAATCAAAGGTGTATGGTAATAATCGAAAGAAGAATGACCAAAATTAACTTTTTAAAATTTGCATTTTCGCAGCAACTATGTTACACATTAAAACATAAATAAGAGATTTTTTCAAGCATTCTGAAAATACTTGAACGCCAAATACATCTTGCTATAAAATTAACCAAGTCACTCAAATTGTGTTTATGAAGAACAGTACTTTGAGAACCTTCAAAGTCAGATTTCACAAACTTATTTATTCTTTGTTGTTGTGTGCATGTTTATTTCATTCGTTCGAACAGACCACAATAGAAAAGACGACAAAAAAAATACGGCATTTGTTTCTTTGTTTGTTCTATAAATTCATGACAACCAAAAACAATTTTTTAAACAAAAGGAATGAAACAAAGGCAGCCACAACTTTGATTCTTCTTTATTAAATTTTATTACTGCCCTCTTCCAGCTAACCGTTTGTCTCTTTCTTCTGCTACGGTTAAACGAACACCTTTTCCTTTTGGTAATGATACCCATGGTCTTTGACCTTTACCAATGACAAATACGTAGGCCAATCTAAAACAGACAAAAACATATCAAAATAGATTATTAAAAAACACAAATTTCATAAAAAAAGAATAAGGAGATAATTGTCACGTCTACATCGAAATATGTGTACAACACGAGTGAGGAAGTTATAATTCTCCGCGAGAACTGATTAGTCGAGTGTTTCTTTATATTAGTTATGAAAGTAAAGTTGTAGACCGTTACTCGGGGTACAGCAATGTTTGTGAGAGAACCAAGAGAACCGACTGATTTCTAGTAAACGTGCAGTTTACTTATATATTGAAAAAATTAAAAAAACAGTTCAAACCATGATAATAGCGAACTTTTTGTAACAGGTAAATGTTTCTTACCGAGTGGCAAATGTGTGCCCGCTAGCATCTTTAACATGAACAATATCGAATGATCCTGGATGGCGTTCACGAGATTGAATTATACCAACACGACCCAAATTGTGACCACCTTTAACACAAAAAACATACAATATTAAAATGCATTAAATACTGTCAAGAATAGTAATTAACCTGTTATCATTACAACATTTCCTAAAAAGAGTGAAAACAAAACAAAATTAATATATGTTAAAAATAACATGAGTTACTAAGTCCACATTTCCAAGAAGTAAAGTGCTAATAAGTTAAAAATGATTCACATTCTGCTGAAGATTCTTTCATATGAAAATGCATTAAAAAATTAATCAAAAATTTTCGTAAAAGCTGTAGAACTGAATCATGTTGGTTATATTTGACTGAAGTAGTGTTAGTGTCAAGTATTACCAGTATCAAATTTGATTGATTCTTGAATTTTTCCTGTAGCGATATCAACTTGTACAGTATCGTTTGATTTTATATGTGGATCAGGATAACGAATTGTTCTGGCATCATGTGTTATTAAAAACGGAACTTTTTTTGGACCCATGCGAACAGATTTTACTTTACACAATTTGTACTACAATAAAAGAGATATACACGTAGATAACCAGAAACTACTCACTTTAGCCTCTTCACTTTTGTTTTCTTCACTACTCACTTTAGCTTCTTCTGGTTGAATACGGTGAACGCAAAAACGTCCTTTAACGTCATAGATTAAACGGAAATGTTCACCAGTTTTTTCAATTGTAATTACATCTTAAACGATAAATAATTTTATTTACCTAAGTGGCCTAACCAATAAACTATTACACATAATATTCTTCTAGGAAGTATGAGAAACAAATATTTTGAGAAAATGATTTTTTCTTTATGAATATTTCTAGTTTGAGGGAAAATACTACTTACCCATAAAGCCAGCTGGAAATAAAAAGTCCGTTCTAACTTTTCCATCGATCTTAATGAGACGTTGTTTACATATTTTTCTTGCTTCATCATATGTTAGAGCGTATTTCAAACGATTTCTCAAGAATATGATTACAGGTAAACATTCACGAGTTTTATGTGGACCAGATGAGGGTTTTGGAGCAAACACACCACCCAATTTGTCCAACATCCAATGTTTGGGTGCATGAAGCCGTTTCAAATGTTTACGAATACCACGGTACTAGAGAAAAAAACAAACCAAACGTTATTACTGATGCTAATCAAGCAATAAAAGCCGAGTGTGTCAACAAAACATGAACCACTAAAAACTTCAACTATAGCCGAGTTATTGACTTTCCCATAATCGCAATGATAATGTGATGGAGTGATAAGATGCACCTTCGTCTGATTCGTGCTCTGATGATGCTAGAGGAGTTTAGGAAATGAATGAGCTTTATTGCAGTGTTGCGAAATTAGAAGCAGTAGAGATCCTAGTCTCTTTTACGTGGAGTGAAGGAAGATAAACGATTCTTCTCAAAAGGTTCGCTAGGAGTAGGAACCGTTAGTTGTGCAAAAGGCAGCATTTCGCACAGAATTCATTTAGGAACTGTAAAACCATCTTTAAATCTCATACTTACACCCATATTTATTTATATTTTACAGATATGTGCGTCTTTCTTCGATCTAAATTTTCAAGCAAGTGCACCAAAAAATCAATCCAAGAGGTTATCAATAGACATCCAAAAGATGAACCAACCATGAGAGACCAATGACGTGCGAATAGAAAGTAGAGGTTGTTATAATAACGTATGTAATATAAAATTAATCAATTAAATTAGAAAGTATTAATTCAAAACGAGAATTGAAATAGTCAAGAGTATTTTTTGATTTCCATGTGTTTTGTCGTTGAAAAATGAATTGATTGTTTGGCTAAAGGCTCATTTGTACGAGTAATGGGCATTTTTTTACTTTCGTTCCTGTCATTTCGGCTTTATTGTAAAGAAGAAAAAAAAACAGAAAGGATTTCAGCAGTCCAAAAAGGCGTAATCGTCAACCCTACTTGATTTGAATTTTTTACATCACAGAAGAATAATATCGTTAGGATTTTGAGTTACATTACCTCATTATAATCTCCAAATATTCCGTGAAAAGTTAAGCATTTGGGAGTTTCCTTCTCGGTGATAATGTCCGTAAAATCAAATGTTTTGGAGAAAATACTACGCGTCATAGTCCATTTTGATATGCTTCTTAAAAAGTATCAACGAAATATTTACTCTTAACATGACAAATATTCTTAACTGCTTCTTTAGTAAGATGTAGCTTTTTATTCATCGTTTGCTTTTTAGAATAAATATACTGTTTACTTGGAAATAACTCGTTGTTTTCTTGCTAAATAAATCTCTTTACATTAAAAGAAGATGGGTAAGTCATCGAGTGAACTAGGATCGTTAAAAACTCTTTGATTCCTTATCTTTCAGTAGAACTGGACATTAGCTATAACGGAGATGTGGGCGATGTCGATGCCGATCCTGACATGTTTCCCTCTACAATAAGTGAGTATTGCTTGTTGATCTTTGTCTCACATAAAGACTACTTGTTTGTGTATTGTTCTAGAACACAAAAATACTAAAAACGATGAACAGGTAAGCTCACTTAGAATTAGTGAATAGCGTTCATCAATTAATATTTGTAAATCAACATACAGAATTGAACGGATAGAAGCATTGTGAAAAGTGTCGGGATAAAACTTTCGTTTGCACATTTCATATTTCAAGTACTTGTCTTTTATACAAAATCTTTTGTCACCATAGTTTGCGATGACATACAAGATAGAAATATTTTAATTTCCTAATAAACTGATCAATTTTTTTCATGAAGTTGTACTAAACTCAGCACCAATATATATATATGTACCAATATATATATATGCACCAATATATATATATATATATATTCGATTCTTTTTTTCATTTCTTGTCGAATGGGTACGAATTAAATCTTAAACATTATTATTCGATAAGAAATGGTATCCGAAATATCATGGAAACAGGTTATTTTTCTTTTTTGTCTTTTATAAACCGCTTTTCATCAAGTCATATACATATACAAAGTGTTATGATTATTATAAGTTTCAACGAGATTGTAATATTTTATCTTCATTTCGGCCAAATGTCGATGTAAAAGTGACATAAGCCAATAAGAATTCGTTCGTTGGACCAAATAATTTACGGATTTATGTAACTCGATATTCTCTACAAACTGACACCATTAAAAAGTATTTTTTTCAGATATGAGATTTAAAATTCTATAGATTCTGAATTCTAATAGACTCTTAACAATGAAAGCCTTATGAAAAAATGTACATTTTTATAGAACTTGTCTCGCTCAATATATATATATATATATATATGTATATTAGTGCTGAGTTTAGAGTAAAACTTCATAAAGAAAAATTGATCAGTTTATTAGGAAAATAAAATATTCATACCTTGTATGCCAACTACGATGACAAGAGATAATTTTATAAGAAATATGAATTTAGATACTGCGAAAGACAGTCTGCATTTTTCTATAGTTGTCCTGCTTTTTCTGAACTGTTATGAAAACGTCCTAAATTATTCTCTTTATCTTATTTTCACTTTTTTTCTAGTTTTTCATACTATATGAACCTGAAGAGGGAGTAAATGATATGATATGCTTATAAATATTTCTCCTTTTTTGGAATAAAAGCAAATGGTTAAATAGAGATGCAACAATAATTTTTGCTGTCAAATGGGATCTTAGTTTTCCGCTTCAGTATGATATCTCTGGTTGTAGACATGAATAAAGCTTATATTGACTTTTAAAAAAAATTCTAGTTATTGCTTTTTTTTGATTGAAATCTTGGTCCTTACTCTGATTTTTAATAATCTCGACTATAAGAGTGTGTGATATTTCCAATGCTGCTCTTTGGCGCTGTTTCTTCTCGTTTAAAAGTAAAAAGGCAAAACGTATTTTTTATGTAGATATACGACACTTATCTAACGGTATTACCATATATTTGAGGAAATTGATAAAAGCGAATATAAAGCCTAAGAGAGATATAAACAAAGAGACAATAAGTAATGAAGACTCGATTTACTGCGAAGAACTGAATGATCTAATGAGCAGAAAATGATAAGAAAAAATTTTCACATTAAAGATTTTCACTAATTACAAATAGAGTACACTTTTAGATTCTGTACTTCTGGCTTTTTTCAAGTTCATCATCCGTTTCTTGCAGGATGTACTATCTTTTTTAATATTTAGATGGATGAGGAAGCATTGTTGTCGTCTTCACCAAATGATCATGATGAAGAAGCAAAAATTATCGCAGAAGATGATTTGCAGATGGAAAATGATTTGATTGGAATTGCAGACGAAGATGAAGATAGCGAAAATAATCAAAGTAACAACAGTAACAGTGAACAACTAATTGATGATGACTTTCATCAAACATCAACATTACAACATAGTGCAGATGGTAAGACTTTTGTCAGCATTGGAGATATCATCGACGATTTTATATTGTATTGACTGCATCTTATTTATTATTTGTTTAGAATTAATTGATGTATCTCAGGATGGTGATATGTTTGTAAATAATACGAATAATACCATTTCTTCACCATTAGCAGCAGGTGAAACTGTACATTCAAAAGATAATAAAACACAAGATAGTGACGTAGAAACTGCAGAATCACAAAATGGAGAAGCAGGAACAGATGAAATGGAAATGAAAACAACTTCAATGCAAATAACAACTTCAAATATACAACAACAAAATATTGAACAAATAATAACAGTGCCCACATTACCTGTAATATCACAGAAATCAGGTAATTTTGGTCAACACTGGAAACTTTGTTTGAAAAGTAGTATGTAGAATAATCATTATTGTGTTACACACTAAAAGATAAAAAAATATTTAATTATAGATACAAAAACTAAAAGCTAGTTGGGTTGAACTATTTGTTTATTTATTTTTAGACAGTGATAAAGTTACAACATTGCGACATATATTTAGTGACGCTTGCTATTTTCTTATCAAAAGTAGTAATGAAGAGAATGTATCATTAGCAAAAGCAAAGGTGAGTTGGATTTTAATAAATCATTACACAAACGTCTCCGAAAAGTAGAATGACTATTGTTTTTATTAAATGCAGCAGAAGTATTACTCATTGCATTGATATAAGGATCCTTTTCTCATAAGGAAAAAAAAGATAGTCCGTTTGGATAAGATGGTTAATCAAATTTCTGAATAGTTGAAGTAGTTCTCGTAATTTAATTGCATTATTACTATAGTCTTGAATATTCTTTTAATTTTAAAGGGTATATGGTCAACGCCTCCAGCCAATGAAGCTAGATTAAATCGTGCATTTAAAGTAAGTCTATAATCAGACGATGGTTGGCATACTATAACTACTTGTATCTCTCTATCTTCTAGGAACATCGCAATGTGATATTAATTTATAGTGTAGCCGAAAGTAAAGCATTTCAGGGTTTTGCTCGTATGTCATGTGAAGCTAGACATGACAGCCAACAAATTAATTGGGTATTGCCACCTGGTATGAGCAACAGAGCATTTTCAGGTGTGATTCGAATTGATTGGGTAACAAGGTACGTCACCCTTGACTCTAGATATTATTTGTAGTTACAAAGGCTTATTTTCTTTTTTATATGAAGACAAAGTTTACCGTTTAATAAAACATCACATTTATATAATTCATGGAATGATAATAAACCAGTGAAAATTGGAAGAGACGGTCAGGTACTGTGTATTTAATGAAAAGTTTGTATTTTCTAAAAGAAAACAATCACACAACTAATTTTGTTTATATTCTCAAGTTTTTTGCTCAAAATAAGTTTAATTCAGGCAATTGTCGATTACTATGAGTAATTTTTACTGTTTATCTGTCTATTTTAGGAAATTGAACCTCGTTGTGCTGAATCATTATGTCGTCTGTTTCCATCTGATCCAAATATTGATATACTAACAATAGCTCTAAAAGCAAAGAGAAATAAGAAAACAGGATCCAAATCTAAATCACGTACACCGCCACAATCAAAACCATTAACCACAACAACGGTCACAATAGCAAATGATTTATCAATACCCTCGTCTTCAATGTCTCCAATTCCCACTAATAGTACAACAGTCACTAGTCCAAATACATCACAAAAATTATCATCATCTCGTAGAAAATCATTAACTCGCTCAAAATCTCCGAGTCCTCCATCATCATCGTTAACTCGAAAAACATCGTCGACATTAATTGGAAATAGTTCTCGTGCTAGTAATAATAATAATCATCATTTATCAACGCGTCATTCAGGTGGCGGTGTTACAACAACTTATCCACATAATAATAATAATAATAGCAATTATCGACGTTCAGATTATATTAAAACAGACTTTCGTTCACATTCATCATCAAACAATAATTATCCACAACGTCCACAGAATTTGGCAACAAGCGGTGTTCGTAGGTCAGACAAGACTCTATTTGTTATTATTATTGTTGCTACTAATAATAATAATCGCGAGAGAACTACCACTGTTTTTGATTTTTTCTGAAAAAAAATCATATTACCGTTATATTATTAACGACCGGTTAATCTATCTATTCATTTATTGTTGTGTCGAATTTAGCACAACACACACTATGTGTATTATTATTCCTGTCGCATATATAGCGAAAAAGAACTGCTATTGGAAAAATGTCAAATAAGTTTTGAAAAATAAGAACTCCTCTAAAAATAATATGAACATATCGTTCTAAATATGCGATTGAACATGGTGTGGCTTGTTCACAGACATACACAAGCAGATTTAATCAGTTGACAGCTCGTTTGAACCGAATATGATGATTAATACAGACTTAGAATTTAGAACTGAGATCTTTTGTCAGAAATTTTATTATCAATATTTTCGTTGAGAAATCGATAACTACTTTTTATTTGTCCCTCGGACACTCTAATAAAAAAGATCAGTATGTTGTTATTAAATAATAAGTACCAAATTTTCATAGTAAAAGATATTAATAGAGATAAACTCTTTATTTAAGTATACTCATCGCTTTATTGTGCAGTCGACCGTCTTGATGTCTGCTTGTGTATGGTTAGAGTTCTAAAGTTTGATAGAAAAAAAGAAGACGATTTATTTTAAGCCACATGTTCTATGGATATAATTTAATTTCTTTATTAATTCATTATATTCAATATTATAATTTATTTTTCTTACTCAACATCAGTCATAATAACAAAAAAAAAAAAGTCTATAAACATTCTTTCTTATCATATGAACTCTTCAGACAATATGCGTGTGTATATAGAACATAGAGAAATGTGTATATGCGTTTAACAACAACAAAAGTGGTGTACCACATTTGAAGTGCTAAATAAATGATCTTTTTGTCTTAGAAATAAACCACACAAATTTTATTTTTCCAAACCAGCTCATATTAGTTAGCATTACTGATAGAATATTTCGTAAAAACGATATATGGGGATAGAAAGAAGTATGCTTAAACGTTGCTTACAATCTTGCGTATTGCATGTATAATGTTTGTCATGTCTATTACATATTGAGAATATAAGTAGTTCAAAAAAGCGTAGACTCAGTTTTACAGAAGAAGTATCGCATTAACATTAGTTCGACCCAATTTGTTCTTACTTTTTTTTGTTTTTATTCATGTAATAAAAAATACAATATTTTTTTGTTCATGATTGTTGTCTCGAACATTTTTCTTCTTCTGAAAGTGTGAATTTGAAATCTCCCTACATAATTTGAATTGTTTTTTCTTATTTACACTCAATTTAGACGTCCATCTTCAAGAAGTCGTGAGCGTACAAAAGAAGATGTACAAAGAAAACGTCGTTATCGTTCATGTATGTATTAGCTATAACTATAGAATTGGGTATTGAGAAATTTACATGTAAGAAAAATATTTTTTGAAACATTTTGTCATGATTCGAAAGTAATAGTAATCTGTTTTCCAATAGTTAATCTATCATCCTTATGATCTAACGGCCAAGGGATGCCGTTGTTACGGATGTAGACTTCTGCATTTATTCAAATTACTAGTGTAGTCTAAGTGCATTTTGAAGCTTTCCAGCCCAAATTTATTTTGAATCGATAATTATTGATTGCGCTTTTGCAATGTATTCAAGGTAAGATGAAGCATCCACAAAAAAAACGTCTAAGAATCATGAAAGAAAGTACTTTTTTCACTTGGCCGTTAGATCATCACTATTACTGAAATATTTGCATCGACAAAACACTTTATTCTTAAAATAATATCGTACGAGAAATAGATGCCAGAATATTTGGCACAGATGTTTTCTCATAATACATTAGTTGACATGATATTTTACTCTAATAGCATCGTCTCGCTCGCCTGATCCAACCAATCGTAAACATGTTCAACGTAGTCCGTATTCACACTCTGTCCAAGATCAAGTATCATCCTCACATGGAAATGCCAACAAAACAATATCAAAAATATTTATTAATGGCGTATGTTTGCTACATTATATGCTTTGTGTATTTTCTATATATATTTTCTTTCTTTTCAGACATATGAAGATTATATGAAACATTTTAATGTTTTAACAGCACATCCACAATATGCAGGAATGTCACCAGCAATGTTTCCGCCATCAGTGAGTCTTGGACTAAACCGTTTTTGAATCACTTTGCTAGTTCGTCAAAGTTTTCAATAATGTAGTATACTTATAGTTTGTAGGCTATGATCGTATAAAAAGAATTTTTTAATACATTTTTGAAAATTATTTCAAATCTATATTTAGGCTTATCCACTGGCATATGATCCGCTTGGTTATGTCAGTCAAACGGGTTTGAATCATTTACTATACGATCATCGCGGTCCAACTCTTCCTCTCACGCATCCCTCACAAATGAATCCATTTATAAATCAAGCAGCAGCTTCACAAGCAACAGCACAATATTTTCAGCAGCAACAACAATCGAGACCTAATGTATTAGTGAGTTATCAATTTTTTTTATTTCTAACAGTACTGAATGGGTGTTCAGTCTGAGTCTGCTTTTGTTCTTATAATGAACTTGATGAAACATGGATTTAGTTGATAAGGTATGAATGAAACTGATTGAGTGCATCTTTTTTTTCTCTAGTATGAACAAGAGATAGCGGACTTTCTACGTCAAACCTCTCATTATCGTTCGAAAGACGGTAACAGTAGCACAAGCAATCATAAACGTCATCGTAGTAGTCGGGAAAAACGGCCGAGAAAATCACGATCACCTCGACGACGTTGAAAAAAAACTGTACATCTATTCTATTCTTATTTATAATTCAAATCTTTTTAAATAGAAAGCAAACAAATGAATTTTCGTGTGTGATCTTCTTTCACATCCAAATTTTATTTTAAGCGGGCAGACAGCAATCAAAACATAGATCAATGTTATTGTAGTATTTTTTTTTCTTTATATAAACACGAAATGATATATTCCCTCGTTTTTTTTTGTGTACGTATATCTGTGTCATTGTTTGTTTTCTTTTCTACATTCCTTTTTCGCTCTTATTTGCTGTGTGTTTTCATTAGAACAATTTGTTGCCATTGTATGTGTCTTTTTTGTATTATTAACCTAGTTTGTCTTTTTATGCGAATGTATAAAAAAATGAAATTTGTTCTATATTCTTTTTGTTATTGTCGTGGCGAACATTTATGTTGTCTGGGTGCATGAGTGAGTAACAGAAACTACGGCAATTGTGCAGAAACGAAACACATTATTGATTTCACAAAAAAACTATTATAATTCCGTAATTTAAAAACATGCCGGGTTATAAATTCTGCATATCTAACAATTTTACTTATTCTTTTTTGGAATTTGTGTTATTATGAAACAGTTTTGTATAAAACTAAATTGTCGAACAACTCGCGGCGTTTTCGCCCCGATTACTCAACTGCAGTATTTCTTTGATAAATATCTCTAATTTCAGTCCTATTCTTTTCAATTGATCATCTCTAGTTTGATAAAAGGAATAATTCTGTTAAGTTTAGTTTCGATATGCTCGACTCAAAACTCGAACTCCTATGACATCGATTTACTTCCTTACTAAGGTTTTTTTTGTGTCAATCCGAGTGAGATGTAATTGTACAGGTTAAAATTTTAAATTTCTCTTTCTCTCTAGCTCATTGAAGTGAAAAAAGCTATCATTATCTTTTCCTATACTTTTTCTCCTTTTGTAAACTCACTATGAAGTAAATTATTTCTTTTCCTACTATGGCGCATAAAAACGCCTACATTTCTTGTGCAAATTCCTTTCTCTGTCTCTTTCTGTTGATGTTGTACAAAGAAAATCTTGTTTCCTTTAAATCCTTACGATGATGTGGCTTTTGTTTTGTTTTCCTGTTTTTTCAGTTGTTTTCTGTGATAATAATTAAAGTAAGAAGTGAAGGAAATAAAGGCGGCTTGTTTATGTAAATAGACTCGATGTAATATGCTTCAGTACGAGTGTAGCAAACAACATGTAAAAAGACATATCTTTGACATATAGTACTACAAGTAACGTTCATTCAATCGATTTTACGCGAAAAATTACAAATTGATGGAATTTATATCGTTACATGAACGCAGAAAATTACGAGACAGAACATAGTGTAGAGATCCAAGTAAGAATCAGCAGCACTGAAAAAATAAAAGCAGGAGTAAAAAATGTAAATGAATCTTCATCTAATATGATCGATTATTTCCTAAAACATGGGTAACAAATAAAATATCAATACTAAAAAAACACTATAATAAACGCTTTGGTTGTTGCTGGTTGTGGTGGTAAATTTTAACATATTGTTGGCATTATCTAAAGCAGCTGACTTTAATCCGAACTGCTATTTGACTTAAGACAATTTTATTGTATCATTTCTCTTTATTTCTCCTGGACGAATTAAACATAACAAAGGACGTGGAACGATAAGACCATAAATCGGTCCCCTTCCAAATCAGTCTTAAATTATCTCATCTGATAAAGTTTTTGTCCACGATTAACCCCAGCATATGTTTAGACCGTAGAAATCCTTTTCAGCGACCCTGGAAACCTTTCAGCAAAAAAAAATCTTTACTCGTTAAATGACCTTTACTCAAAGTATTTTCATTATTCCACTTCTTTCACCTACAGCAAACACAACCTATTATTTACCGTCCGATAGAGAATTTCACGGGCTTCAAAATGGTGTATAAGATAACCTTAGGAAAATGTAACTGGGTAGTCTAAGATCCGAAAACCAATCCTTAGTTTTTGGTCAGAAAATTTTGCAAACAAAATCACTTGATAGGGCGAAGAATTCTGAGCAAAATAAGACATCTCCCGGCATTCTATAGTGCTTTTTCATCGGAATATTTTGGTAACTTTCACGCAGCTAGTGGTAAATTGACTGCCGTTGCGTGAAAAGCACTATAGAATGCCGGGAGATGTCTTTTTTTGCTCGGAATTCTT